TGTTGGGGGCCTCTGCCGCTGCTGCTCTTCTTGCATATAAAATGTGTTTTAAATTAAAAAATTTACTTGCAAAAAAAATGTTCAATTTTTGGCGTTTATTTTTGCATTTTTTTTTTATTTCTTGCTTGAAACAAAATTTATGCAGATACTCTTAATGCTGACAGCGTCAGAGTCGTCGGACAGCTGTGGAGCCTGTCCAGATCCTGGGCGGCAGCTCTCGTTTTGGCGCCAAGTGGCAATTTAGCCGGTTGGCCAGTTCCTCAATACCATCATAAATATTGTGCCGGCTTGTCTCTGAAATTGTCGACATTTTTATGAGCGATGTCCAGCGTGGACCGAGCCAAACATTTTAAATGCCAAAAAGCAGCTTAAAAGCTGCTTCAGCATTCGTTTCGAATGTGCATGCAAATAATATTACAATTGGCTCTGAGCCGTAGCGCTTCACGTTAAATGTTTAAAGGGGCCATCCATATCCTGCTATATACAAGCTGTACAAAATTGAAAGTTTCATTGTTCATATAGAGCGAAGGGCCACTGAAAAAGAAATCGAACTCAAAATGATAAAGGTTTTATTTTTTGGCTTACATTAGAAATTGCATCAAGTTTTCTTCAAATTTTGTATAACTCTCATACATTATTTATTTAATCAAGGCTCTATTTAACATCAGGTATAAAGCATAATATTTGGATATAGCTTAAGCTTTGAATTAATTTATAATTTATTAAACAAATTCCTTATTTTCATTATATGTATGTTATATTAATTTAGATTCATTAAAAATTAAAAAATAATTTGTGGCTTGGCAAGTCTTTTGATGATGTGGATCAAACTAAAATAAATCTATATACATATAAAGGAATAAAATATTGATTTGGAACTATGAAGCTAATCTGATTATATATATAAATATTTTTAGTTTTATTCGTTTAATTAATATTTTATTTGAGATCAACGAATCGCAATGTCAAAAGTAAACAAATTTTTGCGACTAGTTTCAGATAAATAAGCACAATCCATATATTTACATATTTACATTATATCAGTCTCCACTTGGCAAGTCCTGGACGTGGAACTTTTCTTGAACGCTTTTGGCTATTTTTGTTGTATTGCCAGAAGGTTAACAATAATAATAATATTTCTAAACTAACAAGCCTACATATTCATTGCATTGACCCTACACAATGATCTCTGGCAGAAGATTATCTATCTGTCATTTGCCCATTATATCTGTAAAACTATATATTGAGATTGTAGTGACCTTAATATTAAGAAGCATTCAACTTTTGCAAATCGATGACATCCATTACACATAGATCTATAAGCAAATAGAAATCAACAATAAATGAAAATGATTGAATTCATGATAAATCAAAGAGGTTTCATATATTTATGTTAATAGCCACATTTCTTTATTCTACCATTCTTTTAAGTAAATCAGCTCATTCATGTATTTATTTTCACCTTCCTTCAGATCCCCAATAGAACTCTGATAACTTTCTTAGTATTATAACACTAGCACTTTACATAAACATATGTACATACATATTTCACCTGCTTAACACCTTCAATCCAAGTTCTATGAAAGTCAGGTACATTGCTTGCATTTCCACATGCCGCCGCCATTGGATGCCGTCAGGTTCCCATGATTTATTTAAACACATACGTATCCGTGTAACGTTAACACCCACACTCAAATACACGCTCGGGCAAGTGGTGCTTGACTGTGATTATGCAATGAAAATGAAACGAGCTTTTGATATACGATCGATATGCATTTTAAATGTTGTGTTAAATGGCGTATTTAGCTCGGGCAGAGCTAAAAATTATGGGACAACTCCATTTGAAACGGCGCAGGAGGTCGGCGGCGGCAGCGATAAATATCCAAGTGTAAATGGATACGAGCCGGCAGGAGAGGCACAGAGAGGCTTCATAGAGGCAGCAGAGCACCAAAGCAATGAACTAATAAAGGACAGCCATGACAACAACAACGCGGACGCTTTATTAGCTGTTGTTGCTGCTGCTGTTGTTGTGGTTGTTGTTGTTGTTGTTGTTGTCGTTGGCCATGGCATTATGTCCGTAAACGCGCGCTGCAAATGCGTTGCCATAAATTTCCAGCTTTAGTCTCGCTGCGAACAGCAACAATGTCTATGAAGACGTCGACGGCGCCAGCTAATGAAGATCAACGATTGGCGGACGACGAAGACATCGCTGAGATTCCAGACAGAAAGAAGTGTAAGGCGCGTTTCACCTTTTCCGGTCTCGGTCGGCGGCTGGGTGGGCCGCATTTCTATGCGCGCCGCGCAAATAATTCATAAATTTCATTCAATTTTATTAAACGCAAGATATACGACCTGCTACTGTCGTCACTCACAGGGCCTAAACGAACGGAACGTTCCGGAAATCCGCTCATTACGCAAGGCTTGTAATTAATCTGCAAAAGGCAAAAACAAGAACAACAGAAAAGAAATGGCAACAGAAAAGAAAATAACTGAAAAAAGCTTAAAGAAGAATGAAAAGTTTTGAACCCGACTTTATGTCGGGGTCGCGCACCTGTTACGCATTGGATTTGGGATGCGCATCCGCTTGCAAAAGGGTTTCTCGATTTGTGTGTAAATATTTGCAAATGAGTTTGAAATTAAGCCGGTTGTTTTATTTATAACGTGGGCATGGGCAGCCGCCCAGCGCATCACAGCGCAGCCCCGCCCAGCTTATGCCTAAGACGTGGACTTAGGCTACGGGGTCGCACATTGATTCAAAATTTTAAAAAAGTATGAGATATTGATACGGACTGAAAATATTTATTCAAGGCTTGCAGATTATAGCTTTCATAACGCCTCTTTAAGGATTTTGGTTTAAAAATACTTGAATCAGGTTTGAGATATATATTAATATTGCTTATTTTTTCTTGAGTTGAATTTAGCTAAGCAATATTAATATATTTTTATATATTAATGAAATGAATATTGTTTTGCTCATATTCCATTATATATTTTTGGTTTTTATGATTTATCAATAGCATAAATAAGCAATAAATATCCAAGCACTATCGCTAGAACCACTGTGCTCTATCTGTGTAGATGGAATAGACAAGGCAACTGCATGCCACAGATTGAATGGTCAGGCCGGGGCAAAAAAGAAATATATACATAAATTATTATAATTCTGTTAGTTTTTTATGGCCGGCGTGTTTCGCTCGTGTCAGCTCAGAGAACGGATCTTGGCTGCCATTCCTCATAGTCCCCGAGCTGGTGGCCAGCATCAGCAGCATCAGCAGCAGGAGGAGCAGGAGCAGCAGCAGCTGCGTCTTTGCCTATGCCAGTGTTCGCCTACTCCTTCATTTGCTTCACTCTAAGCTGGGCGGGCGACACTTGACTGACGCCTCGCTGGCGCCATCTAGCGGCTGTCGGCTGCGCGTGCATAACTTGCGTTTCATTATAATGAGATTATCCTTTTTGCTTGTAACTGTAACTGTGTGTTATTGTGTACGGATTACGTGTGCGTGTGTGTGTATGTGTATGTGTATGTGTGTTTGTGTGTGAGTGTGTTTGTGTCTGGCACATTTTCATTCTCAGCCAGGCTCTGAACTGCAACAGCTGTTTGTGTTTTCTTATTTAAATTATTTCTCCCTTTTGACGTGTTGTTATTTTTTTTCTCCATTCCATTCTCGTCTTATGCTGTTTTGCCATTAGCTGCCGGGATTTAGGTTTGTCTTTATTTAACTTGAGCAAATAGCTTAACATAAAGAAGACAACATCAAAGTCAAAGTCGGCTAAAACTTTTTACTCTTCGATAATGCAAACATTTCGAACCTGATTGGATTTAGCTGGGTTATACTTAAGTACGATCGGGATAGAATCAATTTATTTTATTTGATTTTAAATGCAAACTCTTTTGCATGAGTTTATCAGATAAGAGCTTGAAAATGCTATACATTATATATCTACTAATACTTGACGAAGAATACTTGGAGAAGTCGAAAGATAAGAATTAAATTTGTGCATTGGCCGGTTGCCTATTATTAAGAGCTCAGAGCAATTTTTACGTAGTCTCCTAGCACTCATAGGCAAGTTTGATTTATAAAATTAGTTTATAAAAAATTGCGAATGGGAAGACAATTCTGAAAATACTATATGTGGAATTATAATAAATATAATGGGATAAATTATTTTAAAGAAAACTTGTGTTGATCTCTTCGATGGATCCAATTATAAATATAAAGCAATTTTCTTTTCGCCGGAGCTTTTCCTTCATGTGATTTCAAAATAATTCTCAAAGGTACAGAGTTTCTAGATCTTTGGACTTGCTAACATCTCAGTTAATCTTGCTTTCTTGGCAGCGAAATAATATATTTAATATCTGGAAATAAAAAAAAAATTTGAATATCTATGTTGTGTTTCGAGGCTGAATCATACAACTTTACAGTCGGATCAGTGCAGCACAAATTGATCAATGAATTATCTCTATCGGCTATAGGGGAGTAGAGCATTAGAAAGTTTGTGATTTGGCTTAAGTTTGACTGCAATGTTCTAACTAGTTTCTGATTAGCATTTTTGTTGATTGTTTCCCCCTTTCTAGCAAGTGATCTGCTGCGGCGTTCATAATGTGAAAAATGTGTACAAATTATGCAAAAGCGTGTAAGACACGAAGATAAATATGTAATGACATTGTTGATGTTTGTCTCGCTGGCTTGTTTGGTGAACTGTTTAGGGCCAACAGATCGAAAATTGATTGGGACAGGGCAAGGCCAGGCCCGGGCTTGGCAATCAATTAGAGCCGAACAGCAAGGGCCATAATGGTAACAGCTAACACACTCGAATCGTGTAATGGGGCTCATTACATCACTTTATACAAATAGTGCGGCCTAATTCGAAGATCGTGTATCTTGACAACTTAAGGTGTGATCGCAATTCAAGGCAATAAATATGTATGTAAGCTGCCCGCATTCAGATGAAAGCGAAGACCAGATAGTTACAATTGTCGCGTGGCTTGATCTGTAAAATTAATAAATACGCAAAATTTTATTCAGAAATCGAAATGAAATGCAAGCAGAAGGAGTTAAGCATTTGAGCGCCGATTCGGCTGTGGATCGAAATTGAGCACATCGAAGGTGAGAATCTTGTAGAACGACACCGACCAGCCAGGATCGTTAAGGCGCGACAGCACGCGCCCTATCATCATGTTCTGTGACGTTGTCGACGCTGGCTGCTGGGCATGGTGATGGCCGTCGTCGTTGCTGGAGGAGGTGTCTGTCGGATTCCTAGAGGCCTCCTCCTTGCGCCGCCACTCGGCTGTGTAGTCACGACGAAAGCGTATAAAGATCTCAGCAAAAACAATTCGATGTGGCACCGAGACAACTTCTGACGGCGTCTTCAGCTCGTTATCCATGCGCCGCAGAATGTCGTTGATCTCCACCAGCTCGGTGGGCGAGTCGAAGTCCTTCGTGTTCCGCAGACCGACAAACAGCATATCGATAAACGCATACTTTCGGCCATAGTTCTGGCGCGTGGCCACCTTCATGGGTATGGCCCGGCGCAGATGCTCGTGCTCGAAGCGCACCAGCTGCAGTCGCGAATCGTTGCGAGATAGTAGCATGTCTCGGGTGATCTGCTGGAAGCCCACCGGCGTTGTAAATTCGCTAATCTTCTCAGCACTTTGCTGCCGTATGATGTCCGTCATCACAATGGCCGCCTGCTTGGAGCCCTCAACGAACTCGCTCTCATTGAAGCCATAGTCCCAGAGCCACTTCAGCTTCCACATGTTGAACTTGGTAATCAGATACTTCCATGGATTGTGCAAGTACACCAGCTTCGGTATAATCTTGCGTCGCTGCTCGTTGACGGCATTTTGGCGTCTCCATTTGCTGCCGTGCACCTGGCGGCTGTTCAAAGCTGACTGGGTTGTCCGTAAGCTCCTGGGATTGGCCCGATGTGATAGGCAGCCGATGCAGTGGCTCAGGCTGAATGTTCGCTGTACACCATTGTTAAGAAGAAAATTAATTAGCATCTCGACTTCAGGTGTAAAGTGCTTTGCATTTTTCTGCAGTCTGTTTAACCAAAATTCGTTTTATATTTTGAACCAATTTTTATTTATTTTTTTAAATCTGTCTGTAAACTAACGAATTTTGACAAACAATTCCAACTTTTTTTTCCCTTATTATTCATAAAAATATAAGAAAGAGAGCGAGAGAGAGAGAGATGTAGAGATTCAAGATCCCCGCTGCTGGCAAGTGAATGTCTTATGTTAAGATCGTAAACAGTATTTGGGCGATACATAAATTATATTCGACTTGGGTCGACTGCGTGAGTGTCTGAGTATCTGAGTATGTGAGCGCTGCGTGGGCCAACAAGTGCTACGGGCTGACTCTTTTCCGGACTGCGATCACACACGCAAACGACATTAAAATGAGCATAGAAATGATAAGTGGAAGAAATGAAAAGCCTTAAATGCAATTGTTGCGCTTTGGAGATGTGTATTTAAATGGCGCGGCAAATTTAATTATGTGTAAGAAATTTAATGGAACATTAAAGAGAAGCTGCTCAAAGCTTGAACGAAGCGAAACGACACACACAAAGAGAAATGTTCGTATAGGTTCGCATAGGCTCGTTAAGAAGTGTGAGTCGAGCTATACATAACAGGCAGAAAAATCTTGTCAAATTAAGACATGAGAATAAATCATTCTTGAATATACACGATTTAGTATATATCAATAAAAACATTTTAATATATATATAAGAAATTAATGAATTTGAATTTAATAATATGAAATTCATTTTTTATGGAAGACACTTACTTATATCTCGATGAATTATCTTAATCTAAGTCAAAGTCAAAGGTCTCCCAAGCGAAAGATTAACAACTTCACTATTCAACATTAACTTTTAAAGGTTTTGATTGAGTACGAATTTTAAGCTATTAATCTATATGCTAAGACTAAGTCCAAGTCAAAGTGCAGTCAACAGTAAGCTGAGTATAGTTGCCATCTTCCGCAAAAAATCTCAAACAATTTATTATTAACCTAAGTCGAGGTAGAAGTCTAAGTACACCCAAGAGCAAACTGAACGATTTACTTAAAATTTAAATTAACTTTGAAAGGTTTTGATGGCAAGTTCAGACTGTAATAAAGGGACATCAATTTGTGCATTATTAAGCTAAGTCTAACTCGAAGTTTAAGTGCTCCCCAGAGCAAGCTTAAAAGCTCCAATTACTTTTGAGCAAGGCATCAGACGAGCTGACCAAGTTCTTTCTAAAAAGTCTAATATGCTGTACAATCCTTACTCCTTCTCTACTAACATTTCATTGCTGGCCTAATGCTTTGTATTATGAAAATCTATATTACATACATTTTTTCCTATTTATTTTTTTTCGAACAAGTTGAGCCAACATTAGTTTATCAGTTCCCAGCTTCGCTGACTGGCTGGGTTGACACAAACTGCGTGGTCGTCATCAACGACGTCACATGACGGGGCAAGAAAGAGAAAAAGTTTTCGGAGCGCTGCAGCGTTGCGATAAGCATCTTTTATGAACCGCCGTGTGGCAGCCAAACACAATGGCAACAACTAACAGATACTTATTTGTGCGTTATACACAGTTGCGAGAGATTCAAATTGAAATTCGAATGAAAATAAGTAATTCATTTCGCTGCGGTTGGCAGGCCAGCATCGGACATCGGGCAGCGGGCAGCGGGCATCGTTTATCTTGTTGCTCATTAAATCATTCAACTGTCAATCAATTCCCCCTTCTAACCCGATGCATTCGTCTCGCATTCGTTGTGCCACTCATGAGCTGCATCTATGATTTGAGTCGAGTCGAGTCGAGTAGAGTTAAGTGTGGAGTGGAGTGGATTGAAGTTGCGTCGGGTCCGGGGCCTCTGGCCACAGTCAGTCGTCAATTGTCTTCGGCACATAGCCAAAGGAAATATCTATCTATTTTTCGAATCGTCGTCTAGCGGTCGCTGTCCAACATAATTACTCGCATCTACTGTTCTGTTCAAAACTGCACGCATTTCATTCTTTTCAGCAGCGACAACAATGGAAATAGCCGTAAATTGATTCCTATGCAGTTTGCCTGGCAGTTGTGGCATGCATGTCTAACATGATCTCATGTATAAATTATTATAAATGAGCAGAGCTGACTCAAACTTTCTTCTATGGAATCTAAGCAAGTGCGAATTCCGATAAATATGCCTTTGTATTTATTGCGATACGATATAGAGCAGACAATGCGAACGACTCGAAGTATTTATGAATATGTATTTGGATCTCTTCTACTCTGGTTCTGCATAACTCCAAAACGTACGGGACAGCTCCGGTTTGATTGTCGCACTTTTTTTCTTCGCTCTGATCGAGTTTTAAGTTTCAAATATGGAAGTTGACATGCATGCCGGCATCCAATGGACTTCCCTCCCAGGTCGCGCTTAGCATAAGTATCTGTGGATTTCCATATCTAAAGCTGAGTCTGAGTATGAGTATCTCGTAGCTCGTTGCTCGTAGCTCGTATCTCGAATATTGTATCTCGTGACATGGGCATGCCAAAATGCTCTCGTACCTGTCAGGCGATTCAGGTTAAATCAATCAAACGAGAGTTGGAAAAACGAAACCTGTCAACACGGTTCATTGTTTGCATGCGCCGCGTTTAATGAAAGAACCCGCCCCGAAACAAGACAAAAACCAAACAAAACCGTACGAATCGTAAGCGAGCCCAGCTAGATGAGGGTCTGTTATGGGGAGGCGGCACTATAGATAGATTTATGCGCGTATCTCACAGATACACACACGTACACGTACACACACAAACACATACACACACACATATACATATAAGACTCGTTGCATTTGCCATTCGTGCAGTTATTTGCATTTTTAGTTATTTCCATCTGGTGAACTATTGTCTGGTTCATACGGGTGGTCATTTAGCATATTTTGATATTGAGATTTATTGACAAGATAGGAACGTGTGCGACGTGCCTTTGCTGTGCTGTTGTTGTTGTTGCTGTTGCAGCTTTGTCGGTTAGGGCCGGAAACGTTATGGAAACGCATATTATGTCAAATGTTATTTAGAGTTAAATTAATTGAGTTTTGATGCCGATCTGAAGATCGAATTACAAGCGAGACCTGCAAATGGATGGAAGAAAGAGGCGCCCACTTAAACAAGTTGACCACAGAAATCATGAGGCACACAGCGTGCCACAGTGGAGCAATGCCACCAATGCCACCAACGGAAATCTATCCGAGTCGCAGAGTTTCCATGGAAACCCTGCAAAGCGCGGAATGTGGTCGTGCCATTGAAATGCGATACGCAAGGCGAGGGACTAACTGAAAGAGTTGCTGAGCTCATGGGGGCGCGGGTACTAAACGACTGAGTTGAGGGGATCATTCCGAGCTGATCAGCGAGCGAGTACGCAAATTGAGGAATTGCTCACGGCTGGCCAACTACTAGGGTTTCAGTAGTTGTCAGCAGTTGTCAGTCGGTGCTGCGGTGCGGCTTGGCTGGTGCTCAATTTGTCTGGCAAATTGATCGTCACTCGAATAACTGATGCCTGCATTTGCGGAAACGAGCAGGTTCAACTAAGTCGCCTCGAATCCGGTCGCTCAAATTGCAGACTTCGATTTGATGCAACTCGGGTAATCGAATACTCTCACGCATGAGCTGATCCTGACGATTCGATTGTCATTCGGCGGCGTTGGCGTTGAGTCATTTAAAATTCTTAGCCGCGCCTTGGCTGCTAAACTGTCAAGGCGACACCTAGTGGGCAACACCTGCAACTGTCAGTGCCACACCACGTGATGTGCCTACTTTATGGCCACTTAAGTCCAGCCACTGACAGTTGGACGCTCGCTGTCCACTGAGCTTCCAAGAAAATCGCCTAGGTGCGACAGCACCATTACCAACCAAATCCCTGCCCGCGCCCCTGGCCACACAGCTACCATGCACTCATCTACTCGTAACTGGGCCCAAACCCTAATTTATGGGTTCACATTGTGCGCTCTCTCTCTATTCTCTCTCTTTCTCTAACTCTGGGGTAAAGTCAACTTGATGTGGAATTTGGATTAGTCTCACATAAAGTAGTGTAATCTATGTATCTATGTATCTATGTATCTATGTATCTATGTATATATGTATCTATGTATCTATGTATCTATGTATCTATGTATCTATGTATCTATGTATCTATGTAT